TTTTTTTGGACAAGTTCAGAGATTTCTTCCACTTCTGATGCCTGACAGGGAAGATACTTCGCGACCTTCGACGAATATTCAACCTCGATAAAATTGCTCTGAAGTCTTCAGCGAAGAATCTCATCGAATTTTGAAACAAAAATGAGCGTCCATGCGTCCGTGATGAGGGAGAGAAAAGAAATTGAAAAATTATCAAGACCTTGGAAGAAAAAAAGAAACAATTGTACATCGAGTACGAATCAATTTGATTGGAAAAATTGACGAAAATTGTGTGTCCCTGTGACTTGTCGCGACGCGAGAAAGACAAGATCTTTGACCACCGTGCAGCAACAGCATATCTGCACTGGTGTTTCGTCTCCACGCACGTGCATTCCACTTTTGCCAAGCTCGCCTTGAACCTGCTTGGTTGCAGGAACAGTTTCACGTGAAACTGGAACCGAGCGACGATACGGCTTGATACGCTACCTGCACACCGAGGCTTTATGCACTCGGGATTCGGTATCTTCTCGCGTGCCTCGCCTCTCGGTGAAACGAGCCTTTCCCTCTTTCCACGCGGCTCTTCTTTCCCTTCTTCCGTCATCCGTCGATTCGTACACCCGGGCGATTTACCAGAACCGCGATGCTGCCACCCGCGAACCACCGAAACTCCGACGATCGTTAAACTATTTTCTAGCGTTGTTTTTTAGATTCCGTTGATTTTTCGTTCGAGAAAAGTGGCAAGAATTTTGATAGCTACAGACGTTGCGAAGTAATCCGGAAGAAAAATTGTTTGAATGGATTGTTAGGATAAAGTCAAAAATTAATGGATAATTTAGATTAACAGTTAAGCTAGAGATTTCTTGGATGGATTATTAAGATGATTTAAGGTTAATGAACGTAAGATATTTCCGGTTTGGCGAGAGACTCTTTTGAAATAAATTGATCAAAATTTAATAAGGATAGTAAATTTCCTCAAAGTTTTCAAACGATGAAGTCTCCTGGATGAAAATTGTCTCGGGACAATTCGAAATAAACGAACGATGCCTTGTACGGAGCATTCCCGAAATTTTTAAAATTAGAAAATAAACGAATCGAGGAAAAGAGTATCTTCTATTCGAGCAAAATTCCAAACTAGTTCAAAGGAGGGAAAGAAGTTGCTCGAAAGGAGATTATTTCCTCCTGAAATAAACGTGACATTAAAAAGCAATATTCAAAGTAAATTTATTTGATTCAACATCTTTTTCTTTTTTCCTTTTTTTCGCGAACCATTTTCCCTCAAAAAAGTTTCTCGATTATTCTGCGATCGAGCGCGAGCGC